TGGGGGAGGTGGGTACTTGTTTAACCCCATTCTACACCTCCTCTCTTCACTGTCATCTGTCTCAAACTATCCTCTTCTCTTTCCTTTTCTCTCTCTTTATCTTTCACATCAAACTACCTTCAGAATTCTACTCCTGGGGCGTAGTTGTATATCTTGCTTCCAGTCACTAATCCCAAATCCTTCAGAAATGAGTTCAACGCTTAATGAAAATTGAAAATGAAAATAAAACTGTAAGCAGACTATTCCCTGGTTTATTCCCAAATGGCACCCTATTTCCAATATAGTGCATTACTAAAGTAGTACACCGGATAGGGAATAAGGTGCCATTTGGTACGCAGACCCTGTGCCATTGTGGTTCAGGTTGGCCAGCCCACGTAGCTGTGTGACAGTATTGTCAGACTAATCTGTTTACCTAGCAAAATAAAACAGAACAGTGCACCTGCCTCATCACTGTATGATTACACTGCCACAGCTACTGTGTAATATCTAGAGCCTCTGAGATTCTGTCATTGCATAAAAACTGTCCATGATAAAAATGAGGTGGTATTTTTGTAAGAAAGCTCTGTGGCTCTATCGGTGAGACATACCTGTATTTGCCCTTTTATGAAAATGTTTTATCAATTACCCATTACATATGTCACCAGTAGTAAATGTACTGTTAATCCCAAGATTTGTAAATGTTTTCATTGTCTTTTGTTTGGAGTGCTCCATGTGAGCAATGATCATGTGTCTGGTTCCTCTGTCCTGACAATGTTGAGGGAGTGCACGCGCGCCTGAGCACTCATAGAAGTACCTGGCCTGCTGCGCAGAAATATTTGGCTATGAGTTCCATGCGCTAATTTCTTTAGCCGCCAATCGATCATGGTGTATCAATTTGTCCATATGACAGAGGCTGGTGATCTCGCATTAGTTGACTTTTAACTTTTAGATTTGTATCATTTTAATTTAGTTTTTTTATGATTAACCACGTGACAATGATTTTCAGAAATGAAAAGGTTATTACTGAAATTATACTGTTCCACGAAAATGAGCATATCAAAATCATAACTGGCATGCAGAACGGTAGTAATGGTAGAATCAATTGTAAGCTTTCCCAAACTTGAAATAAAACATTCAGGTTTCCAACAATTAAGTATACTTTCAAAATGCATACTGCCTCCAGCTCACATTGTAAAGTGGTGGCTGATGTGCTGATAGCCTGTTGCCTGCACTTGAATGGTGAATGGGAGGCTTGCTTCAATTACCAGTTGAGAAATAAAAATAGTAGCTATTTTTAATCGTGAATCAAAACAGTTTTTAACATGCGATTGCATTTAGAATTGTTGCACAATGAATGAGCTTATAAAAGCACATATTTTACTCCAGCAACAACCAGCTGAGGAGCTGGAGGAGAAATCCCGCTCAAAATAGTCTCTGTATGCTGTGTGTGTGTGATAGTTGTGTTGGATAAATAAGATACATGATGACTAACGAAAATATACACAGGCCAATTTAATCCACTAAATTATGGAAAATGACCTATAGACCGATAAGCATGAGGGTCAAATTGTCACGATTTAACTAGATATGAACCCAAATGCAGACAACTACACCGAGCCAGAGAAGGTTTAACAGGTTTATTTACAATGTTCAATTTGTCCAGGTTTCCAATAATAGGGGAAGAGCAAGTCCAGGTTACAGGGAGGGTAACAGATCCAGGTTCAGAGCAGGTGTGGTACCGTAATGTCCTAGTGTCCGTGGTGAGTCCAAAAGGGAGGTCCGGTAGTGGAAAGCAGGATGGTGGTGGCAGGAGTGAAGCGGAGGCAGGAGTCAGGTTCCAATAATCTGTGGCACAGGAGAAAAGTAAATAGAACAGGCCAAAAACACAAAGAGCGAAAACAAGCAGGTTGAGTTGGCAGCGAGACTAACATGGTCGTCTTGACTATGATCTGACGATGAGTGGCAAGTTTGACCGGGTCTTAAAGGCTGAGGTGATTATGGTGAATGAGCTGCAGCTGGAACCCTGACTCCCACACACCAGACTTCACTCCTGCAATCAAGAACAGACAGAGGGGAGGGGAAGAGCAGAGAGAGAGCTACCTAGCAGCAGTAGGCCTAACACAAATGTATTTACATTGACTGTTATTTCCATCAATTAATAAAAAAGCATTGTTTTGTATTTGGGATCATTTTGGTAGTCAACTAAATGTGATTTCTGTCATTCTGAGCACCGGTGGGTGGACGCACACACACACACACACACACACACACACACACACACACACACACACACACACACACACACACACACACACACACACACACACACACTAACCCACACATCACATCAGCATCCTTCCTGTGTCACCATGCTGTCTGGGTCTTCCGCTGTGTGAGGACAGTCATGTCCCTAGGGCAGACAGACAGACAGACAGACAGACAGACAGACAGACAGACAGACAGACAGACAGACAGACAGACAGGCAGGCAGGCAGGCAGGCAGGCAGGCAGGCAGGCAGGCAGACACAATGACTCACACAATAAATATAATAATAATAATAATAATAATAATAATAATAATAATAATAATAATAATAATAATAATATGCCATTTAGCAGACGCTTTTATCCAAAGCGACTTACAGTCATGTGTGCATATTTTTTTTTTTTTTACGTACGCGCGCACACACACACACACACACACGCAGTCTTGCACAGCTAACCTTGTGGGAACTTACAACTCAGTCCCATTCAAAATCCTATTTTCCCTAACACCTAACCCCAAACCTAACCCTAACCCATACCCTTACTCTAACCTTAATCCTAACCTTAACCCTAACCCTAACCTTAACCCAAAAATCTAACCTTAACCCTATCTCCTAACACCTAACCCTAAACCTTATTCTAACCCTAACACTAATTCTAACCTTAACCCTAAACCCCCTGGAAATAGCATTTGACCTTGTGGGGACCAACAAAATGTCCCCATTTGGTCAACATTTTCTTGGTTTACTATTCTTGTGGGGACTTCTGGTCCCCACAAGTATAGTTAAATCGGTCCACACACACATACACACACACACACACACACACACACACACACACACACACACACACACTGACACTTCTGTACTGTTAGGAGCTAGCAACACAAGCATTTTCGCTGCACCTGCTATAACATCTGCTAAACTGTGTACACAACCAATAAACTTTCATTTGATTCTATTTCTTCTCACATTTGCACAGTTTCATCATAGCGCTTGATGGTTTTTGCAATTGCACTTGAAGAAACTTTCAAAGTTCTTGCAATTTTCCGGATTGACTGACCTTCATGTCTTAAAGTAATGATGGACTGTCGTTTCTCTTTGCTTATTTGAGCTGTTCTTGCCATAATATGGACTTGGTCTTTTACCAAATAGGGCTATCTTCTGTATACCAACCCTACCTTGTTACAACACAACTGATTGGCTCAAACGTATTAAGAAGGAAATAAATTCCACAAATTAACTTTTAACAAGGCACACCTGTTAATTGAAATGCATTCCAGGTGACTACCCCATGAAGCTGCTTGAGAGAATGTCAAGAGTGTGCAAAGCTGTCATCAAGGCAAAGGCTACTTTGAAGAATCTAAAATATAATATTTTTTGGGATTTGTTTAACACTTTTTTGGTTACTACATGATTCCATGTGTTATTCCATAGTTTTGATGTCTTCACTATTATTCTACAATGTTTTATTTTATTTTTTATTAATGCAAAACTTAAATGAGTAGGTGTGTCCAAACTTTTGACTGGTACTGTACCTGTAGGTAGGGGTGAAAGTGACTAGGTAATCAGAATAGATAATAAACAGAGTAGCAACAGCGTATGTGAAGAGTGTGAAAGAGTGTGAAAGTGTGTCTATGTGTGAGTGTGTGTGTGTGAGTGTGTCGTCAATATGCATGTATGTGTGTGTGTGTGTGTGCGTTTTGTGTGTGTGAGCGTATGTAGTGTGTGAGTGTGTGAGTGTGTGTGTGTTGGAGTGTCAGTGTAGTATGTGTGAGTGGAGACATAATACTTGTTTGAGGCTTTTAGCCTGAGAGGAGAAGAGAGCCCTGCACGGAGCTAAAGAGCTGAGGAGATATTTATCCTAGCTGTGCTGTCATAGTATTGCGATAGAGAGACTGTAAGAGGGTAGGGTGACTAGGGCCCTGTGTGCTACACCGTAGTGACAAGGCTGCTGCTTGCCTGCCGCATCATGACTGATGTTACAAAGCACTACAGGGATGGACTGAACTGTGTGTGTGTGTGTGTGTGTGTGTGTGTGTGTGTGTGTGTGTGTGTGTGTGTGTGTGTGTTTGCGAGCATGTGTGTGCAGTTACAAATCACCCCCACTATGACACACAGTCAAACTCTCCCAAACCCAGAAAGAGAATTACAGTGACAGGCAGAAAGCAATCGAAGTGATATGTGCTTTCACATAATACAGCAGTATTGTCTTAACTGATGTGAACACACACACACACACACACACACACACACACACACACACACACACACACACACACACATACACACCTGGCATTTCTCTCAAACATTACTGTCCTATAGAGCACTCCACAGTGGATTAATCACCAGACCTGCCTAATGATCAGCCCTCTTAATAATTGAACTGCAAATGAGTGCCGAGCTGCTCATCAATAATTGATTAGCTGCATTGTATTAGACTATAGTTACAGCAGCAGCATAGAGCTCTTTCCTTTGTGTTAGAGGACAGACGAGAGAACAGAGGAAAGAACAGAGGAGAGAACAGAGGAGAGAACAGAGGAGAGAACAGAGGAGAGGACAGAGGAGAGGACAGAGGAGAGGACAGAAGGGAGAGGACAGAGAGAGACAGAGGAGATACAGAGTGCGAGAACAAGGTAGAGACAGAGGTAGAACAGAGCAGAGACAGAGGCAAGAACAGAGTAGAGACATGAGTGAGATACAGAGGAGAGGACAGAGGAGAGAAAGAGGGAGAGAACAGAGATAGGACAGAGTAGGATGAGGACAGAGGAGAGGACAGAGGAGAGGACAGAGGAGAGAACAGAGGAGAGGACAGAGGAGAGGACAGAGGCGAGAACAGAGGAGAGGACAGAGGCGAGGACAGAGGGAGAGAAACAGAGGAGAGACAGAGGGGAGAACAAGGAGAGGACAGAGGAGAGACAGAGGAGAGGACAAGGCGAGAACAGAGGAGAGGACAGAGTGGGAGAACAGAGGAGAGTGACAGAGTGAGAGGACAGAAGAGAGGACAGAGGGGAGAACAGAGGAGAGGACAGAGGAGAGGACAGAGGAGAGGACAGAGGAGAGGACAGAGGAGAGGACAGAGGGGAGAACAGAGGAGAGAACAGAGGGGAGAACAGAGGAGAGAACAGAGGAGAGGACAGAGGAGAGGACAGAGGGGAGAACAGAGGAGAGGACAGAGGAGAGGACAGAGGGGAGAACAGAGGAGAGGACAGAGGAGAGGACAGAGGGGAGAACAGAGGAGAGGACAGAGGCGAGAACAGAGGAGAGATAGGCTACGAGGAAAGATGCCAGCTAAAGAGGACAGAAACACACAATAACCGAGGTGGAAAATCAGATTAAATGGTGGGTGAAATGGGACCAGATGGTTCTATTGAGTAGAATATCTGTGTCTTGTCTTCTATTGAGTAGAATCTCCTATGTGGAAGACTGGGAGCTAAGTACCTGACCATGTACCTGAAGTTATGTTCATAATGGTTGTATCTGGAGCTTTGTAACTACCTTCGCTCTGTGTATTGTTATCTCAAATCAAATCAAATTTTGCGCCAAATACAACAGGTGTAGACCTTAACGTGAAATGCTACCTTACAAGCCCTTAACCAACAATGCAGTTTTAAGAAAATAAGAGTTAAGAAAATATTTACTAAATAAACTAAAGTAAAAAACAGTAACACAATAAAATAACAATAATGAGGCTATACAGGGGGTACCGGTACCGAGTCAATGTGCGGGGGTACAGGTTAGTCGAGGTAGTTGAGGTAATATGTACATGTAGATAGGGGTAAATTGACTATGCATAGATAATAAACAACGAGTAGCAGCAGATTGGGGGGGTGCGGTTCAATGCAAATAGTCCGGGTAGCTTATTGATTAATTGTTCAGCAGTCTTATGGCTGCTAAGGAGCTTTTTAGACCTAGACTTGGCGCACCGGTACCGCTTACTGTGCAGTAGCAGAGAGAACATTCTATGACTTGGGTGGCTGAAGTGTTTGACACTTTTTTTGGCCTTCCTCTGACACCGCCTAGTATAGAGGTCCTGAAAAGCAGGAAGCTTGGCCCCAGTGATGTACTGGGCCGTACGCATTACCCTCTGTATCACCTTACGGTCGGATGCCGAGCAGTTGCCATACCAGGCGGTGATGCAACCGGTCAGGATGCTCTCGATGGTGCAGCTGTAGAGCTTTTTGAGGATCTGGGGACCCATGCCAAATCTTTTCAGTGGGGGGAATAGGCTTTGTCGTGCCCTCTTCACGACTGTCTTAGTGTGTTTGGACCATGACAGTTTGTTGGTGATGTGGACACCAAGGAACTTGAAACTCTCGACCTGCTCCACTACAGCCCGTAGATGTGAATGGGGGCGTGCTTGGCCCTCCTTTTTCTGTAGTCCACAATCAGCTCATTTGTCTTGCTCACGTTGAGGGAGAGGTTGTTGTCCTGGCACCACACTGCCAGGTCTCTGACCTCCTCCCTAAAGGCTGTCTCATCGTTGTCGATGATCAGGCCTACCACCATTGTGTCTTTAGCAAATGTAATGATAGTGTTGAAGTCATGCTTGGCCACGCAGTCTTGGGTGAACAGGGAGTACAGGAGGGGACTAAGCACGCACCCCTGAGGGGCCCCCGTGTTGAGGATCAGCGTGGCAGATGTGTTTTTGCCTACCCTTACCACCTGAGGGCAGCCCATCAGGAAGTCCAAGATCCAGTTGCAGAGGGAGGTGTTTAGTCCCAGGGTCCTTAGCTTAGTGATGAGCTTTGTGGGCACTATAGTGTTGAATGATGAGCTGTAGTCAATGAATAGCATTCTGATATAGGTGTTTCTTTTGTCCAGGTGGGAAAGGGCAGTGTGGAGTGCAATTGAGATTGCGTCTTCTGTGGATCTGTGGGGCGGTATGTGAATTGGAGTGGGTCTAGGGTTTCCAGGATGACGGTGTTGATGTGAGCCATGACCAGCCTTTCAAAGCACTTCATGGCTACAGACTTGAGTGCTACGGGGCGGTAGTCATTTAGGCAGGTTACCTTGGCATTCTTGGGCACAGAAACTATCGTGGTGTGCTTGAAGCATGTAGGTATTATAGACTCGGTCATGGAGAGGTTGAAAATGTCAGTGAAGACACTTTCCAGTTGGTCCGCGCATGCTCTGACTACACGTCCTGGTAATCCGTCTGGCCCCGCGGCCTTGTGAATGTTGACCTGTTTAAAGATCTTACTCGCATCGGCTACGGAGAGTGTAATCACACAGTCGTCTGGAACAGCTGGTGCTCTCATGCATGCTTCCGTGTTGCTTGCCTCGAAGCGAGCATAAAAGGCATTTAGCCCGTCTGGTAGGCTCGGGTCACTGGACATCTCGAGGTTGGGCTTCCCTTTGTAGTCCGTAATAGTTTGCAAGCCATGCCGCATCAGATGAGCGCCAGAGCCGGTGTAGTAGGATTCAATCTTAGTCCTGTATTGATGCTTTGCCTGTTTGATGGTTCGTCTGAGGGCATAGCAGGATTTCTTATAAGCTTCCGGATTAGTGTCCCGCTCCTTGAAAGCGGCAGTTCTAGCCTTTAGCTCGGTGCGGATGTTGCCTGTAATCCATGGCTTCTGGTTGGGATATGTACGTAAGGTCACTGTGGGGACGATGTCATCGACGCAATTATTGATGAAACCGGTGACTGGGGTGGTATACTCCTCCATGCCATCGGAAGAATCACGGAACATATTCCAGTCTGTGCTAGCAAAACAGTCCTGTAGCTTAGCATCCGAGTCATCTGACCAGTGGGAGAGAAAGAGAGAAAGAGAGACAGCGAAACCGAGAGAGAGAGAGAGTACACTACAGACAGTAGATGAGTGAGGGTAAGAGTGTGTTCAGTTGTTCTTAGTTACAGGGTAAAACAACAAAAGGTCCCAGAGACTCCACTATTAATTGCAGTGATGAAGCTGATAATTGGGATATATTTTATGCATCAATGTCCATTGGGTCCTGAGTTGACTGGTATTGATTAAAAGCGACGGCGTCACAAGCAGAAAGATCAAAGTTTGTTTGTGATGCTCACAGTTTGCCTGGTAATTAACAACACACAGATGCACAAAGAGTTGAGCAGAATTATTCTTAGATGTGTTATTTTTTCCTTCACTGACCTTACGTTAGTGAACCACTGCTAATTGGGTCTCCCAGCCTGGACATCGGACCATTCATTCTCCCTACGTCCCTTCACTGACCCCCTTAGAGAGCTAGGGAGCTGTTCCTCTTGAAATATTGGTCAGGTTCTAGGCCGACTACATTGCAGATGTTGCATTGAAAAATGGTTGTGTGTCCCATCATTGACTGTGCAGTTGGACATCAGATTGCTATATCAAATGATGTGGTTAGCGGATAGGTTAAACACGTATCCAGGTGACATGTGTCAGCCTGGAACGTGGCCATGGTGACCTGTACACATTAATATCAGATCAAACGCTGACAGACCAGTTTCATGGTTATCAGTCTCCAGTCAATCAAATCCAATGACCATTAAAAAATAAGATCCACAAATCTCTACAGTACGCTTGAGTGAGCCTGGGGTGAGTCAGACACTATCTATAGGCTGAGGTTATTCCTCTGTACTGTTTACTCAGAGAGAGAGAGAGAGAGAGAGAGAGAGAGAGAGAGAGAGAGAGAGAGAGAGAGAGAGAGAGAGAGAGAGAGAGTGAGAGAAAGAGAGAGAGAGAGTGGACCCTACCCTACCCTGGGGAAAGTGTCTGTCTGCGGCTCAAGCTAGCCTGTTATATATGACGCCGTAGTGTGGAGAATCAATCCAGTGCAATTGACCAGGGGTTTCATTCTGGCACAGCTCTGTGCTTCAGTTGCCTGTTGTGTGACTGATTGAGCCCCAACCCTTTGGATAAGCTGCTCTGCAATATTCAGGCCATTTAATTTCCTCCTTCTCCCCTCCCTGCCCACACACCCTGTACTTCCCTAAACCTCAGACATTGGCTACATTGTGGGCCTGTCCCCAAAGGCACCCTATACCCTATATAGTACCACTATGGGCCCTGGTCAAAAGTAGTGCACTACATAGTGAATAGGGTGCCATTTGGAACGTAAGACTGTACAGTGACGCAGTGGAAAATGTTTCAGTGGCATGGCTGGAATGCAATTACCTAGGACTCTAAAATCATATTTCCTTCCCTGTTCTCTCTCACCTTCCTGTTTTCTCTTTCTCTCATCTTCCTGTTCTCCCTCTCTCTCTCCCCTCTCCCCTTTTTCTTCTCTCTCCCCACTCTGTTCTCTCTCTCTCTCCCCTCTCCTCTTCCTGTTCCCTCTCTCTCTCACCTCTTCCCTGGTCATGGCTAGAGGGATCCAGCATTTGTCAAATTAATTTACATTTTAGTCATTTAGCAGAAGCTCTTATCCAGAGCGACTTACAGTTAGTGAATACATATTTTTTTATACTGGCCCACCGTGGGAATCGAACCCACAACCCTGGCGTTGCAAACGCCATGCTCTATCAACTGAGCTACATCCCTGCCGGCCATTCCCTCCCCTACCCTGGGCCAATTGTGCGCCGCCCATGAGTCTCCCGGTCGCGGCCGGCTGCGACAGAGCCTGGATTCGAACCAGGATCTCTAGTGGCACAGTTAGCACTGCGATGCAGTGCCTTAGACCACTGCGCCACTCAGGAGCCCCAAATTTGTAGCAAGAACTTACACAGCAGGTTAGGATAATTAACGTAGCAGTTTCGCATAACTAGGTTAAGGTTAGGAAAAGGGCTAGGATTAGCTAAAATGCAAAAATGATAATTTGACAAAAGCTGGATCCCTTCTAGCCATGACCCTCACCCCTCCCAGTTTTCTCTCTCTTGTTGATCCTTGTTATTGAATCACACTCTTTCCATTCATTAGACTTCCTGTGGGGAAGAGAAACACACATAGACTAAGGTTTCTCAGTTTTTTATTGTTATTTTGGTTTATACCTACTGCTGAACACCAGTCTGAAGAGAGACCCTTTATTTGAAGAAGGGATACAGTAGATTTAGGAATCCACTAAATATAGCCTATAGAAAAGGGGTAATGCTACTCCATAAGTTGTGGTATAGCTTTATACTGGTTAAAGTCCATGACACTATAGATTATTTGTATACCTTGGTTGGCTACAACACTGGATAATTTGCCAGTGGAATAAGTGTTTTTTGTTTCATCTTGTGTGGGACTGCAGACCTTATCAGGGCCATCTGAGTGGTGTTTGGGTGTCTAGATGGTGGATAGTACATTAGTTTATTCTCTTTGTAGTGTTAGATTATCACAAAGGTGAATGTTGTTGTTTGTTGTGTGACATCAGATTACCTGTGAAGCCTGTGGTTGCAGGATCTGCGTGTGTGTGCACGCATGTCTGTGTTACAGTAATGCTGTGTTTAGACGAGGGATACAAAAAACGTCATACCAGTTGGCGTAGCGGGACGAGAAAGCAAGAAAGAGGGAGATGGTAAAAGCAAGCCAGCACGACTGTATGCATTGCTATGGTGATTTCAGTAAACAAACAGTGCAAATCAGGATCCGGTAGAAAACAACGCTACGGCAGGCGGCAAGTCCCGTCTACCGTGGCAGCTGACAGCATTTACCTCCAGCCTCAACAGCATTTACCTCCAGCCTCAACAGCATTTAACTCCAGCCTCAACAGCATTTACCTCCAGCCTCAATAGCATTTACCTCCAGCCTCAATAGCATTTACCTCCAGCCTCAATAGCATTTACCTCCAGCCTCAACAGCATTTAACTCCAGCCTCAACAGCATTTACCTCCAGCCTCAATAGCATTTACCTCCAGCCTCAATAGCATTTACCTCCAGCCTCAATAGCATTTACCTCCAGCCTCAATAGCATTTACCTCCAGCCTCAATAGCATTTACCGTCATGCTCTCATTGAAAACAATGACATCCGGTTTGCCTTCTACCTCACACCATTTAAACGCAGCATAACCCTGTACCTCTCTGCACCACCTCTGCAGTATTGAGGACAGCAGCTGCAGACAGACGCTTTGGCACACCTATAACTAATGGAAGATATACAGTGCAATCGGAAATTATTCAGACCCCTTGACTTTTTCCACATTTTGTTACATTACAGCCTTATTCTAAATTGGATTAAATCGTTTTTCCCCCTCAACAATCTACACACAATACCCCATAATGACAAAGCAAAAACCAGTATTTAGACATTTTAGCAAAACGTTTTGCTACATTTACATAAGTATTCAGACCCTTTACTCAGTACTTTTTTGAAGCACCTTTGGCAGCGATTATAGCCTTGAGTCTTCTTGGGTATGACGCTACAAGCTTGGCACACCTGTATTTGGTGAGTTTCTCCCATTCTTCTCTGCAGTTCCTCTCAAGCTCTGTCAGGTTGGATGGGGAGTGTTGCTGCACAGCTATTTTCAGGTCTCTCCAGAGATGTTTGATTTGGTTCAAGTCCGGGCTCTGTCTGGGCCACTCAAGGACATTCAGAGACTTGTCCTGAAGCCACTCCTGCTTGTCTTGGCTGTTTGCTTAGGGTCGTTGTCCTGTTGGAAGGTGAGGCTTAACCACAGGTCCTGAGTGCTCTGGCGCAGGTTTTCATCAAGGATCTCTCTGTACTTTGCTCCGTTCATATTTCCTCGATCCTGACTCGTCTCCCAGTCCCTGCCGCTGAAAAACATCCCCATAGCATGATGCTGCTACCACCATGCTTCACCTTAGGGATGGTGCCAGGTTTCCTCCAGACGTGACGCTTGGCATTCAGGCCAAAGAGTTCAATCTTGTTTTCATCAGACCAGAAAATCTTGTTTCTCATGGTCTGAGAGTCTTTAGGTGCCTTTTGGAAACTCCAAGCGTGCTGCCATGTGCCTTTTACTGAGGAGTGGCTTCCGTCTGGCCACTCTACCATAAAGGCCTGATTGGTGGAGTGCTGTAGAGATGGTTGTCCTTCTGGAAGATTCTCACATCTCCACAGAGGAACTCTGGAGCTCTGTCAGAGTGACCATCGGGTTCTTGGTCACCTCCCTGACCAAGGTCCTTCTCCCCCGATTGCTCAGTTTGGCTGGGTGGCTAGCTCTAGGAAGAGTCTTGGTGGTTCCAAACTCAGAACACCAGTCTGAAGAGAGACCCTTTATTTGAAGAAGGCATACAGTAGATTTAGGGGTAATAGCCTGTAGAAAAGGGGTAATGCTACTCTGCGCTCTCTCTCTCTCTCTCTCTCTCTCTCTCTCTCTCTCTCTCTCCTCTCCTCTCTCTCTCTCTCATCTCTCTCTCTCTCTCTCTCTCTCTCCCTTCTCCTCTCGCTCCTCCTCCTCCTCTCTCTCCTCATCTCCCTCTTCTCCTCTCCCTCTCTCTCTCTCTTCCTATCGCCCTCCCCCTCCCTCCCTCCCTCCCTCCCTCCCTCCCTCCCTCCCTCTCTCTCTCCCTCTCCTATCGCCCTCCCTCCCTCCCCTCCCTCCTCCCTCCCTCCCTCCTCCCTCCCTCCCTCCCCTCCCGCCCTCCCTCCCTCCCTCCTCCCTCCCTCTCCTCCCTACAGTTGGTGTATATTTATACTCTTCCATATAGAATGATGGAGGCCACTGTGTTCTTGGGGACCTTCAATTCTGCATACATTTTTTGATACCCTTCCCCAGATCTGTGCCTCGACATAATCCTGTCTCGGAGCTCTACGGACAATTCCTTCGACCTCATTGCTTGGGTTTTACTCTGACATGCACTGTCAGCTGTGAGACCTTATATAGACAGGTGTGTGCCTTTCCAAATCATCTCCAATCAATTGAATTTACCAGAAGTGGACTCCAATCAAGTTGTAGAAACATCTCAAGGACGATCAATGGAAACAGGATGGACCTGAGCTCAATTTTGAGTCTCATAGCAAAAGGTCTGAATACTTATGTAAATACGGTTTCTTTTAAATATATATATATTTTTTTACAGTTTTTTCTTTGTCAATATGGGGCATTGTGTTGAGATTGATGAGGAACTAAATAACGTAATCCATTTTAGAATAAGGCTGTAATGTCACAAAGTGTGGAAAAAGCAAAGGAGTCTGAATACTTTCTGAATGCACTGTACCTCCACTATGAGGGAAACCCCCCCAAATAGGCACTTTCAAACTCACTAATTCGGAAGGGAAGCTGTTTAATATTCAAATCAAAGGTTTGTGTTTGTCTTTTCAGGACAGGGAAATCAACACAACCTGGAGGAATTCTAACAAGAGACAAGTGCCCTCTGGATAAAGATTTCCTGCAGTGTGTGTGTGTGTCCATGCGTGTGTGTGTGTGTGTGTGTGTGTGTGTGTGTGTGTGTGTGTGTGTGTGTGCGTGGGGTGTAGCTAAGTCAGAGAGAGTAGTGGTGTTTTAATGCTCAGAAGCTTTGTTGAGTGGTGTCAGTTTGTGCATTGTGAGAGAAGCATGTCAAAGAGCTGTTTGTCTCTCATGACCTTCACAGATACACACGAGACGACTAGGGCAGAGCAGGGTGACGAGAGGAGATCCCACACACACACCTGCATTGTCACCAGTCACTTATCCATCATCCCTCTCTACGGTGACTCAGCACTATGATTGGACAGATGGCCATACGCACCTGCACTGTTTGTGTGTGGGTGTGTGTGCGGGTTTGGGTGCGACAGAGACTGAGCGAAAGAGCGAGAGAAGAGAGAGAGAGAGAGAGAGGAGAGAGAGAGAGAGAGAGAGAGAGAGAGAGTGAGAGACCTACCCAGATAACTGTATTTTCTAGTGTTGGGTCACAGATTGACACCATGCTGTAGTGTCTTAGAGGCAGTCTGTGTACTCTCACTGGTGTCTCCCACACACACCACCTCCAGCCATTAACATTAACCCCACTTCACCACAACCCTACCCTCTCATCTCCATACCACCCTTTTAATGACGTGTATGTTAACAGAAACATAATTTTGTCTATAGAAAGTGTTTACGTTATGTTTAATACAGTGCATTATGTGCATCATACTTCAGTGTGCCCAACAATGCAGGCTACACTTCAGCTGTAGATTGGGGCACAACTGAGGTTTAAATCAGGACACGACAGCTCTAGTTGGACAGCGGGTTGGACCAGGTGACCAGGGTAGATGGAGAGAACTGGGCTGCGTCCCAAATGGCACTGTATTCCCTACGTAATGCACTACTTTGACCAGGGCCTGTGGGGACGCATTTGGACGTAGCCCATGTCCCTTTAGGTGATCAGTGATTGCCACTCCCAGAGAGTGAGGCTTGCTTGGCCTATATGGGCCCAGCAGAGAAGACTGTAGCAAAGGGTCTGCATCTCAAATTATTTATCTTCTCTAGGATTTCTCTTCTTTCACTCTCTCTCTCTCTCTCTCTCTCTCTCTCTCTCTCTCTCTCTCTCTCTCTCTCTCCTCTCCTCTCTCCTCTCTCTCTCTCTCTCTCTCCCTCCCTCCCTCCCTCCCTCCCTCCCCTCCCTCCCTCCCTCCCTCCCTCCCCCTCCCTCCCTCCCTCCCTCCCTCCCTCCCTCCCTCCCTCCCTCTCCTCCCTACAGTGGGTGTATATTTATACTCTTCCATATAGAATGATGGAGGCCACTGTGTTCTTGGGGACCTTCAATTCTGCAGACATTTTTTGATACCCTTCCCCAGATCTGTGCCTCGACATAATCCTGTCTCGGAGCTCTACGGACAATTCCTTCGACTTCATGGCTTGGGTTTTACTCTGACATGCACTGTCAGCTGTGAGACCTTATATAGACAGGTCTGTGCCTTTCCAAATCATCTCCAATCAATAGAATTTACCAGAAGTGGACTCCAATCAAGTTGTAGAAACATCTCAAGGACGATCAATGGAAACAGGATGGACCTGAGCTCAATTTTGAGTCTCATAGCAAAAGGTCTGAAAACTTATGTAAATACGGTTTCTTTTAAATATATATATTATTTTTTACAGTTTTTTCTTTGTCAATATGGGGCATTGTGTTGAGATTGATGAGGAAATAAATAACGTAATCCATTTTAGAATAAGGCTGTAATGTCACAAAATGTGGAAAAAGCAAAGGGGTCTGAATACTTTCTGAATGCACTGTACCGCCACTATGAGGGAAACCCCCCCAAATAGGCACTTTCAAACTCACTAATTCGGAAGGGAAGCTGTTTAATATTCAAATCAAAGGTTTGTGTTTGTCTTTTCAGGACAGGGAAATCAACATAACCTGGAGGAATTCTAACAAGAGACAAGTGCCCTCTGGATAAAGATTTCCTGCAGTGTGTGTGTGTGTCCATGCGTGTGTGTGTGTGTGTGTGTGTGTGTGTGTGTGTGTGCGTGGGTGTAGCTAAGTCAGAGAGAGTAGTAGTGTTTTAATGCTCAGAAGCTTTGTTGAGTGGTGTCAGTTTGTGCATTGTGAGAGAAGCATGTCAAAGAGCTGTTTGTCTCTCATGACCTTCACAGATACACACGAGACGACTAGGGCAGAGCAGGGTGACGAGAGGAGATCCCACACACACACCTGCATTGTCACCAGTCACTTATCCATCATCCCTCTCTCCGGTGACTCAGCACTATGATTGGACAGATGGCCATACGCACCTGCACTGTTTGTGTGTGGGTGTGTGTGCGGGTTTGGGTGCGACAGAGACTGAGCGAAAGAGCGGAGAGAGAGAGAGAGAGAGAGAGAGAGAGAGAGAGAGCGAGACGAGGAGATCAGAGCCTAGAGGGATCGCGAGAGAGAGAGAAGAGGAGAGAGAGCTAGATCTAGCGTCGCCTAATAGAGAGAGCTCAGAGATGAGCCCCCGTCCCCTTGAGAGACCTACCCCCAGCATAACTGTATTTTCTAGTTGTTTGGTCACAGACTGACACCATGCTGTAGTGTCTTAGAGGCAGTCTGGTGTACTCTCACTGGTGTCTCCAACACACACCAACCTCCAGGCCATTGAACATTAACCCCACTTCACACACAACCCTACCCTCTCATCTCCATACCACCCTTTTAATGACGTGTATGTTAACAGAAACATACTTTTGTCTATAGAAAGGTTTACGTTATGTTTAATACAGTGCATTATATGCATCATACTTCAGTGTGCCCAACAATGCAGGCTACACTTCAGCTGTAGATTGGGGCACAACTGAGGTTTAAATCAGGACACGACAGCTCTAGTTGGACAGCGGGTTGGGACCAGGTGACCAGGGTAGATGGAGAGAACTGGGCGGCTGCGTCCCAAATGGCACTGTTATTCCCTACGTAATGCACTACTGTTGACCAGGGCCTTGTGGGACGCATTTGGACGTAGCCCATGTCCCTTTAGGTGATCAGTGATTGCCACTCCCAGAGAGTGAGGCTTGCTTGGCCTATATGGGCCCAGCAGAGAAGACTGTAGCAAAGGGTCTGCATCTCAAATTATTTCTCTTCTCTAGGATTTCTCTTCTTTCACTCTCTCTCTCTCTCTCACTCTCTCTCTCTCTCTCTCTCTCTCTTCTCTCTCTCTCTCTCTCTCTCTCTCTCTCTCTCTCTCTCTGATCAGGATACATAAACACTAGCTACTGTTCCTCCACATTCTTGATGTGAATGATGAAACATCACTTTAGAATCTGCTGTTTGTTGGGCTCAAGGCGTGTAATTGAATGAATTGAGAGTGATCGTGTCTCTCATAGAGAGGCTAGGAAGGAAGAAATAGACCACAGAGTTGTTTTTAGTTTTTTTTATTTAACCTTTATCTAACGAGGCAAGTCAATTAAGAACAAATTCTTATTTACAATGACAGCGATGGGCAAGTGCGGCGCTGAATAAATAAAAGTACAAAGAAGAAAAAAGGGGGAGTGTGGTGGTTATTTGAAATCCCTTATAATGGAGAAATTAAGTATCTACAT